CTTAAGAGTATGCAGAAGGGCGTGGAGGACCTCAAGCCATCTACGACACAGCTCGTGGGTTTCTCGGGGTCGAAAATCAAGGTTTTAGGCGTAGTCACTTTACGCGTGACCATCGGTGAAGGGAGCATAACCAAGACAAAATCTATGGAGTTCTACGTGGCGGACTGCCCGTCTGCGTATAACGCCATCCTAGGGCACAGTTTCCTTTCAACTTTTGGAGCGGTAGCATCCACGTGTCATCAAAGGTTGAAGTTCACTGTAGGAAGCAGAGTGGGCTGCGTCAAGGGGAACACACAACAGGCGCGGGAATGCTACCAGGCCACCATCAAGCAACTGGAGGTAGACTTGGTGGATACGAGAGGTAACAACCCGAGGCCGGAAGCGCTGGAGGGGGACGTGGCAGTGCCTCTACGGGAAGACGAACTAGAAAAGACAGTGCGGATATCAGCGCACCTGCAACCCGAGCTGGCGGCCAGCATGATCAACCTCCTACGAGAATTCGCCAATCTTTTTGCTTGGGGACCAGAGGATATGTCGGGCGTGCCGCGCGAACTCGCCGAGCACCGCCTCGCAGTAAAGCCAAACGCGCGCCCAGTAAAACAAAAGCGGAGAAACGTATCTGTCGAGAAGCAAATGGCACTGGAAGAGGAAATACAGAAGCTCCTTAAGGCAGGGTTCATCAGGGAAGTGCGATACCCCACCTGGCTTGCCAATCCAGTTTTTGTCAAAAAGAGTTCGGGTTTGTGGCGTATGTGTGTGGACTTCACGAGTCTGAACAGTGCCTGTCCGAAGGACGCGTACTCGCTTCCAAGGATTGATCGGCTCATCGACGCCACAACCAATCATTCCATGTTAAGCTTCCTGGACATGTTCTCAGGCTCATCAAATAAGCCTCGCTGAAGAAGATCAAGAAAAAACCGCCTTCATGACGGCAACAGGAAACTACTGTTGGGTAGTCTTGCCCTTTGGCTTGAAGAATGCTGGGGCGACATACCAGAGAATGGTGGATGCAGTGTTACGCCACCAAATACGGTGAAACGTGGAGGCATACGTTGATGACGTGTTGGTAAAAAGCAAAGAGGCGGGAACGCACCTATAGGATCTGAGCTAAACGTTTACAAACATGAGAGAGCATGGGTTGCGCCTAAACCCAATGAAGTGTGTGTTCGGAGCGGAAGCAGGAAAGTTCTTGGGCTTCTTAATTACGAAGCATGGAATTGAAGCTAATCCAAAGAAAATCGAAGCCATCTTACAACTCAAAGCCCCGAGAACAATCAAGGAAATACAAGCTTTCAATGGGAAAATGGCGGCTTTAAGCCGGTTCATACCTCGCTCAGCTGATAAGTGTTCCCCATTTTTTCAAATCCTGAAAAAGTCAACAACCCGCTTCAGGTGGAGCAAAGAGTGCAATGAGGCTTTCTTGCGTCTCAAGGAACAACTGTCATCGCCCCCAGTTCTCAGTGCTCCCATCACCGGGGAGCGTCTTTTCTTGTACTTGGCAGTATCGCATCAGGCTGTAAGCTCGGTGCTAGTAAGGAGAGCGGAAGACGACAAGGATCAACCAGTATACTACGTCAGCAAGGCATTACTTCCTGCTGAGACAAGGTATTTGGTGGTCGAAAAAGCGGTCCTAGCAGTCGCTATGACGGCCCGGAAGCTGCGACCCTATTTCCAAGGTCATCCTATCACCGTCCTATCCAACCTTCTCGGGCATGGGAGCCAAGAAGGTAAAAATTTACTCGGATTCGTCGCTAGTGGTGGGACAAATTAACGGAAATTTTGAGATAAAGGAGGAGGAGTTAATGAGGCTAGCAGGGAAAGCTCAGCGAGCACTTGCGGAGGTGGAGGATTGGACGTTAGAACACGTCAGGCGTGAGGGCAACGCTCACGCCGATGCGTTATCCAAGTTAGCCACCGCCATGGACTTTGAGGGCGAGAGACAAGTCACAGTGATGAAGGAAGTGGTTGTCGTAGCAAATATGGCAAGCGCGAGCCATCCAGATTGGAGAAGCCATTTGTTCGGTTTTCTTGAACATGATGAGGTACCAGGAGAGGCGGCGGCGGCCAAAGCCCTCGTCGGAAGGCCACTCGGTACACTGTGGTGGGGGAAGAGCTATATAAGCGTTCTTTCACGGGCGCTTACTTGAAGTGCTTAGGAAGCGAAGAGGCAGAGGAAGCTTTAAAGATGATCCACATGGGAACTTGCGCCACCCATATCGGCCCAAGAAGCCTCGAAAGAGCTGTCCGCTTACAAGGATATTATTGGCTCACTGTGAAGAAAGATGCTCTTAAGATGGTGCGCGAATGTCACGCATGCCAAGCGCACACAGATAAGCACCACCATCCCGCCTCCGAAATGAAGGGAATCGTAATCCCGTGGCCTTTCGCGAAGTGGGGTCTTGACCTTCTAGGACCTTTCCCTAATGCGCCGCTGGGCAAGAGTATTTGGTGGTAGCCGTTGACTACTTCACCAAATGGATAGAGGCTGAACCTCTCGAGGCAATCACCAGTGCTCGGGTACAGAAGTTCCTCTTCAACAACATCCTGATACGCTTCAGAATTCCCGAAACAATCGTAACGGATCACGTAGCGCAGCTTGATTGTCGCCCATTTGAGAAGTTCTGTCAAGAGCATGGTATAAAGCTCAGTCTGGAATTAGTGGCGTTCCCGCAAGCGAACGGATAGGTGGAATCGTCCAACAAGCTGATCCTGCGAGGCTTAAAGAGGAGATTGGGCGAAGCGAAGGGCGCCTGGACGACGGAGCTTCCCCATATCCTTTGGGCGCATAGGACCACGCTTAAAACTGTAACGGGCGAAACACCATTTGCTCTCACTTACGGGTGTGAAGCGGTCGTTCCAACGGAAACTCAACTGCCGACGCTCCGCATCCGAGCTTATGATCCAGAAGTAAACCATGCTAACTTACTCCACCAGCTGAACATGAAAGAAGTAAGGCGAGAGGCGGCTCTAACTCGCACAATTGCAGAAAAGGAAAAGGTGGCAAAAGCATACAATAACAAAGTGCGTCCTCGACCACTGGAGGAAGGCGATATGGTGCTTAAAAGAATGTTCGAGAAGAGAGAGAAAGAAAAGCATGGAAAGCTGGCGGCGAACTGGGAAGGTCCTTACCTCATAAGCGACAAAGTCGGGCCGAGCACCTACAAGCTCGCCACCATGGGCGGAGAAGCCGTATGCAAGACGTGGAACTCACTGCACCTGCGCAAGTATTATTAGGTGCAGTAAAATGTAATCCTATTTCAAAGTGTTCAATCCATGCATCTTCGTAGTTCATTGCGACGTGTCCCAAAATGGGTTATTCCTAAAACGCTACTACGAAGCAGAACAACCCACCCGCGACGCGCCCTGAGGGGCCGGGACTCGCTCATAACACGCCACCCCGAAGGCAGAGCGAGCTCCTAAAAACGCATCCCGAGACATGGGTTATTCCTAAAACGCTACCACGAAGCAGGATAACCCACCCGCGACACGTCCTGAGGGGCAGGGACTCGCTCCTAACACACCACCCTGAAGGCAGAGCGAGCTCCTAAAAATGCATCCCGGGATATGGGTTATTCCTAAAACGCTACCACGAAGCAGAATAACCCGCCCGCGACACGCCCTGAGGGGCAGGGACTCGCTCCTAACACGCCACCCCGAAGGCTGCGCGAGCTCTTAAAAACGCATCTCGGGACATGGGTTATTCCCAAAACGCTACCACAAAGCAGAATAACCCGCCCGCGACACGCCCCGAGGGGCAGGGACTCGCTCCTAACACGCCACCCCGAAGGCAGAGTGAGATTCTAAAAACGCATCCCGGGACATGTGTTATTCCCAAAACGCTACGACGCAGAATAACCCGCCCGCGACACGCCATGAGGGGCAGGGACTCGCTCCTAACACGCCACCCCGTAGGCAGAGCGAGCTCCTAAAAACGCATCCCGGGACATGGGTTATTCCTAAAACGCTACCACGAAGCAGAATAACCCGCCCGGGACACGCCCTGAGGGGCAGGGACTCGCTCCTAACACGCCACCCCGAAGGCAGAGCGAGCTCCTAAAAACGCATCCAGGGACATGGGTTATTCCTAAAATGCTACCACGAAGCAGAATAACCCGCCCGCGACACGCCCTGAGGGCAGGGACTCGCTCCTAACACGCCACCCCGAAGGCAGAGCGAGCTCCTAATAACGCATCCCGTGACATGGGTTATTCCTAAAACGCTACCATGAAGCAGAATAACCCGCCCGCGACACGCCTTGAGGGGCATGGACTCGCTCCTAACACGCCACCCCGAAGGCAAAGCGAGCTCCTAAAAACGCATCCCGGGACATGGGTTATTCCTAAAACGCTACCACGAAGCAGAATAACCCGTCCGCGACAAGCTGTGAGGAGCAGGGACTCGCTCTTAACACGCCAACCCAAAGTCAAAGCGAGCTCCTAAAAACGCATCCCGGGACATGGGTTATTCCTAAAATGCTACCACGAAACAGAATAACCCGCCCGTGACACGCCCTGTGGGGCAGGGACTCGCTCCTAACACGCCACCCCGAAGGCAGAGCGAGTTCCTAAAAACGCATCCTGGGACATGGGTTATTCCTAAAACGCGACCACGAAGCAGAATAACCCGCCCGCGACACGCCCTGAGGGGCAGGGAATCGCTCCTAACACGCCACCCTGAAGGCAGAGCGAGTTCCTAAAAAACGCATCCCGTGACATGGGTTATTCCGAATTGCTACCCTGAAGCAGAATAACCCCGCCCCCGACACGCCCTGAGGGGCAGGGACTCGCTCCCAACACGCCACCCCCGGGACTCGCTCTTAATGCTCAGGAATACACCGCATAATGACAACAGTATGCGTACGGAAATAAGGATAATTAGGAAACTTAAAAGACTGCATTGGAGCGGACAATGTCAAGAATGCAGAAAAACATAAGTTACAGGCACTAGTTCACAATGGAGGACATACTCGACTCCAAAATAAAGGTGGTAAACACAACACTTTAAGAATTGCCTCCGCCCCGGGAACTTGCTTCATCGCCTCCAGCTAACACCGTGAGATCATTCTCAGAATTGACGTCACCCTCGGAGGAGCCCCAAGCTACCACCGCATCCCACATGGCGTCTATATCCCACTCCAGCTCAGGGTGCTCACGGCGGAACAAATGTCGGATCGAAGCCACTGTATCAGCAATCACTTTGGAGCTTTTGGCATCATCAATCTTACGGAAGGCGGGAGATAATAGATAGGAAGCAACCGCAGCCTTGGCTGCGTCATCAACTTCAGTTTTGTGCCTAAGCACGCTCTCTGCCTGAGCCTTCTCCATTTCATCCACGGGTTCGCGCAATCGAGTTACGTCTGCTTCCAAGATCTCCTTGTCAGCCATTAAGCTGTTCACTTTCTGGACTCCCCGGGACAAATCCGCGCGGAGATCCTTAATGGTGTCAGCATGCTCCTTCTCCAATTCAGCCTTGGCCTCCGCCCGAAACATAGCCCGCCCCTTGAGTGATTCCACCTCCAGCTTTCCAATCCACTTTCGCAGCTTCTCCGCCTCCATCTCACCGCGCAAGTTAGCCATGTGGAGCTTCTCGTTGGTCATCCCAATTTGGGACAAACCAACACCCGCCTACGATAACGATGATTTTCCCCGTCAGGTTTTATCAAAAGGAGAAGTTAACAGATAAGTGGAGGTGCTTACCGCAAGAAGAAAATGGGCAGCGGTCCCCACCCAGTATCTGGTTGAAGGATCCTCAGCCTCAGTATACTCAGGCGGGACGAGCAGCTTCCCAGATAACTCATGAAGCATTCGGCGAGCGCAATCCTCTCGCAGTGAGGAATGAGGAGAAAAATCCACTGTCTCAGTCAAAGAGGTCTCCTTCGTTTTCTTTCGGCCCTCATCATGCTCATCAGCGGGACTTTCAGCAATCCACTTCCCAACGTCGCGAACCTTGTGCGTTGTCTCAGCACTAGCTTGCACAGTCATCAGTCCACCCGCTCCACTTGCAAGCGTGGTCTGACTTGTTGCCGTAGGAGGCTTACTCAGAGGAATCAGCGACTTTGGCAGAGCGGCGACACTAGCAGAAGGACCAGGCTTCGTTGGGGCTTGAGAAGCGGTCCCCGTCTTTGGGGCAGTGAGCTTCCCTCGCCTTGGGGGCCTAGCCATCATCGTCATGCTCCCAAAGTGCATGGCTACAAAAAATCAGAGTTAGAAATATAGAATACAAACACTCAATTATAAAGGGGAAGCAAGTCAATGACGCTACTGACCATCTCTGAAGAGTTCAGTCAAAATTAAACTGACAAAATCGGGCCCCCCAAGCTTCACATTAAAAGGAGAGAAGTCGGCAAGGTGGGTGGCGTGATCCTTTTGGGAGTCCAGAGTCCAGAGCTTCGCATCCCAATTTTCCTTCCGACCGTAGGCGTAGCCCGTCCTGGGTTCTTTGTCGCCCGAGTACCATTTCTAGGTAGGCTTGGCGTCCTTGAACCAAGCATTGTCGAGCTTTGGTGACCCTGTCACATATCCATACGCATTATCTCGCCTCCCGAAGGACCAGACGTTGGAAACTCGTCAAAGGCCGTATATAAAGCGGAAAGCGGCAAACGACAGTTCAACTCCAAGTCTCTGGCACACAAGCTTGTAGGCGCAAGCGTGAAAAATGACGGTGGGCGACAATCGACCAAGGGTGCAATTCAAGCACAGGAGCGATTGAGTAATAAGGGGGTCAAGAGGGAAACGCAAGCCCAACTTCAGCTGCTCGGTATATATGGTTATCCATCCATTGGGGCACGTACCCACTCTGGAGGTCGAAGACGGAGTGGCATATTTCCAGTCGGTAGGGAGCTGGTAGTTTCTAAGGCGGGTGAGGATGGTAATAGGCGTCAACTTGCTGTACCTGTCGGGCCCTCAATCAAATGCGCGGGCGGGCACTTCCCGTTTCCCCCACATGTGCTCGTGTAAGCGTATGGAGTATGTGTTATCCGCCACCGCTCGGTAGTCCTCGCCTGAGGTATCCTCCGAAAGCTCGATGGAGGGCGAGTCAGGCAGCTCGGGCGAATTTTGCTCATCAATACTAAGCCCCTTGTCAGAACTCACGCTCGCTATGGAGACGTCATCAAAACTTGCCAGGTTATTCCCCATGGCGGAAGCGTCTCCCCTAGGTGCTACATTCTCTACGCCTAAACCCAAAGCAACATCGGTCAATTCATACGACCCGTCTCCAACCCTACCCAGCAAATACCGGCCATCATCCGACCAAGAGCCACCGAAATCAAAATCTACCCCGCTAAAATCCCAGTCAAGATTGCACGTACTAAATGGCGATAAAACGTTCAGATGGAGCATACCTTGAGCGGAGGCGGTTATGGGATCCGTAACCGTGTCCGACGAATCTAGGTTGATCGGCAGAGAGGCGGGGACAGCTGGCGTGGCGGCGGCGGTACCGCCAGGAACAGGAACTGCGGCGAGGGCGCCGACGGACGATTTCCTCCGACTCTCCGAAGATCCAGAGCCGACGGACGGCGGCGGGTGCGAAGAACCATCTCCTCCAGTCATTGTCAGAAACACCCAATTGCGAACTAATCACGGGGGACTAGGAGAGTACAACGAAGAAGTTGCAACAACGACGATGGTCAAAACAGAGGTACCAGAAGAATAACAGGTGAGAAGCAGAGAGAATCAGAGTGTCAAGAGCAAGTGAGAAGAAGAGAGTACCTTCGTTTGATCCTCGGAAGAGCTTTTAAATGAAAGGGCGCAGTTTCTAGAAGTGACGGTTGAGTAACCCTAGGGAAGGCTATATAGAGTAATCAGAGCAACAACGAACATCTGACGGCACGTCACTTCTGCTACCTGTGGGAAACTGTGTCGTCACACACGTGGCAGCAAGGGGTAAGAGCAACATGAGGCGTGTTGCCCCCGATTCGACGGCTGGGGGGAAGGGTTCTCAGGACGGTCCCTTGATTTATAAGGCGATCCCGCCCTAGATTCGGAAGGTCAGCCGCCCAAACCCGGAGGCTTTACCCGCCTGCGGGACAATTGTTGGGCCGTTAGGGATCACCGCCTAAATCAAGGCCCATGGAGAAGGAGACGGCCCAAAAGGGAAAAGGCCCAAAGAAAGCCAAAGTACGATGTGGATTGGCCCGGTGACCAGCAAGTCGGTTGCAAGGCGTTAACGCCTGGGGATAGTACGATTGGTGGAGCCGGGACACTGACAACACATTAAATGCCGCCGCGAGCATACCTCGTAAAAGGGGTACGAGGTATTTGTCTGACAAGACGTCAGGTGCTTACACCAACGACCACAAGCTATAAATAAGAGTCAACCATCTCATTTAATGGTAACTGATTTCACTCTCTCTCTACTATTTTTTCTCTCTCCCAATACTAACTTAAGCATCGGAGAGTGTCCCCGGGCCACGCCCTCGGACCCTTCTGCAGGAAACGAAGGCTCTCCATCTCAAGAGATCAGCGGTCCTCTCATTGGTATTCACAAAGCCGCCTAGCACTTTCTAGGCGTAAACACCTACCTCCATTGGCTCCATATCCACGAGTTACCGTAACTACATGCAAGGTTGGACAACTTTCAGAACTGCCACCTTTGGTAAAACTGTAAAAGTTTGCCCAAAATTTTCTTCACGGTGGGGGCAATTCATCAGCGGTACGTGGGTCCTGGCTTCCAGCCACGGGGGTGTGAAGTCCACCGCAGGCCTCAGCAACTAATTGGGTTGAAGTTGAAGTTCAATGTAAATTGTCATCCGGCTCGGGCCAATTCGTGATGGGCTGCAATAGAAAGACCACCGACGACAAGTTTATTATCGATGGGCCCGTGGTGGTGGTGAGTATAACGGTTGACTTTGACTCAGTCAGTCTTTTTTTTTTTTTTTTTTTATCAATAGATAGCTTTTATTACCAAGACCAAAAGACAGCACTGTTTACATCACAAGGAAAACCACCGCTCAAAATCAAAGCTCTCCACACTCGCAGGCAACAAAGAAAGGGTCTTCCTGGCCACCTCATGAGCCACCCGATTGTTACTCCTGCCAACAAAACCAATGTCAAAACTCTGATAGCGCCGCCGGATCCCACCAATCTCCTCCAAGATCCTTCCACCACGCAGGTCCCTAGCATCCGCTCTCTGAATCTTCTCAATGACAACCTTAGCATCTCCATAAAACTTCACTTCAGTAAGACCCTTCAAAAAGCACCACTGAATCGCATCACGGAAGGCTACCAATTCCACTAAGAAGGGATCAACAAGACCTGCATAAGAAAAGCCTTGAACAAAACAAACACTACCCATCGCATCTCGAACCACCAACCCCCCCGCACCATGAGACCCCGGCGCCACTGCACCATCCACAAAACAGGAATACGACACTACACCCGGCCCCTGGCCACACCTACTCCCCCCGCCCATCTCCCCACCCACCCGACTCAAATCACGTTGAACCGGAACAGGCTGCACAATCGAGAGCCACTCCTTAACCTGGCTCTCATACTGCTGCACAAGCCGCGGAATAGCATACTGCACATGATCAAAGACCACCCAATTCCGACTCTTCCAGATTCTCCATAACAGCGCCACAAATCGGACAATCCTCTCAGTACTAGAACCCTGCTCAACAAACCGACGAAAGAACAAAGCAAAATTACTCGCATGAGGAGAACTTACTCCTCCAACAATGCCCGACCTCTCCCAGAGAGCCCTAGCCACTGTACACGAGAGAAACATGTGTTCCAAGGTCTCCATAGGCGCCCAGCACACCGGGCATTGTAGCTTGACCAACTCCCCTTCCTCCGCACTCTCTAGTATCACTGCCGGCACCTTTCCTTCCTTTTCAACAATCGCCTCCATGGTGGGCAGAATACGTCGAAGCATTTGCCACACAAAAAACTTCAACTTTGGTTGAATGGGGAAATCCCATACCTTTTTCCAAAACCCACTGTCAAAAAAGGAAACCTCATCCTTCCACCCCGGCAAACGGCGACTAAGAGTGAATGCTAAATGGTATCCCGACCTGACACTATACACCCCATCATTTTCCCGCGACCACACCAGCTTATCCCTCACCGGCTGCACCGGCAATGGGATAGAACAAATTCTAGCCACAACATCCTCATAAAAACATTGCTGCAAGCACTCAAGACACCATCTTCCCGTTCCCGGGATCATTAGCGCCTGCACTGTCACAGCATTCAAATTAGGCGCAGAGGCTCGACATACAATCTCCTCCGGTCGCCACCCCGGGACCCAATTGTCTCCTAACACCTGTACTGTAGCCCCATCACCTTGCTTGAGCAAATCCCTTCCATGCAAGATGCTAGTCCATCCCCACGAAGGCCTCGACCCTCGATTCGCTTGAAGGATAGCCGAGTTGGCAAAATACTTGTATTTCATCACACGAGCCAGGAGAGACTCAGTCAGTCACTCGGTTCCATTTTATGTATTTTGTTTGTAGTAAGTAGATTACATTATATATGATGATTTTTTAAATGGTAATTAAACACAGAGAAATGCAAACGCCAAAGCATTTTTTATTTATTTACATGCATGATGCATGCAAGTCAAAGGGTGGAAATTATGCCCACAATTGCGACGGCGCCTCGCATTCCTTAACATTCCAAGTCAGCCTCGCTTGGCTAAGATGGAAGCTACCATTGCCACCAATGAAATAATGATAATCAATGGATGAGTTTAAGGCTAAATTTTCTTCCTTTCAGACTTCTCTAATGAATTGACTTTGGAAACTGGATAATTTAAGGATTAAAACATGGGAGATCGAGCGCCCCCCGAGATTTCAAGCAACTGTGTCTTTGATTATTTTAACAGCTTAATCTAAAGGAAGTAGATATAGCTAGCTAGGGTTTTGTTGCTAATAGCTACAGTTCCTTGATTTCCACGCAAACCATCTCACTTGGAAATATCATAATAATTCATCATTGAGGAAGTTCATCTACCAATAACCTGCAACACAGAGTCAACCTATGGTACTTTTTTCCCCATGTGAAATAGATTTGTGAAGACACCGAGAAATACACGACATGTGTATAGAAGACAACGTAGTACACAAAGAGAGACATCATAGAGGAGGGGGAAGAAAAAGAAAAGTATCTTTCACTACTAATGAGGATTGTATAACAAATTACAGAGAATTGTGAAAAGAGCAGATTATTCAGGCGTACATAGTCCATGACCACTAATCAGATTATTCTAACATTAACCTGATTAATTACATCATTAACCTTGAGAAATTATCATTGTAAATGTTATGTGTTTTTATTTGATTCATGATTTTTCTTTTTAATATTATTCCGCGTTCGTTTTTGTATGAACCATAAAATCCTACGATTTTACGATTCCGATTTTACCCACATTTGCAATTTTACGTAAATTCCCAATTTTGACTGCTATGCATGCATAATCTATGACCATTAGGGCGATAAATGGGTCGAATTGAGCAGATTTTTAACCTAGTTTGAGTTTGACTTGTTAATAAACGAACTCTAGTTCCAGCTCGTCTTGTTTACTAAGACATTGGTTTGTGTTTGATTCGAGGTCGGCTCATTATTAAGCTCATAAGCTCCACTCGACTTTGCCTCATCAATTAGCTCGCCAGATCACCTCATCAATTTGGTTCATTATTTTTAATTGCTTATTGTTGTTGGAATATAAAAGCCATTATTTTGGTTTTACTATTCATTAAGAAGTTATTTTGTAAGTAATCCAAACTTCAAGGACAATGCCCAAGAAGCTATATTTAGGCCATTTCAATTTTTCTTTAATTATGCGCTCTTTTTTTTTTTGGTAGAAATTATGCGCTCTTTTCAATTCTCTCTTTTCTTTTTATTCATCTCATAATATGTTATTATTCGTTAATTTATCTCCTAATATGTGTTACCGTTCATTAAGCTTTTTTATGAAGATTTCTTGAGTGTTTTTGTTTTTTTTATGTTGTTTTTGTGTTAAAATTGATCTCCTTGTTCGTTAAGCTTATTTTTTTGTTGTGGTGCTGAAAATCGGCGCCTTTGTCCGCAGTTAGCTTTGCATTATTGCTCATCTCTCTATCGCCCGAGTTCAAATAGAAAAACTATAAAGAAATCTCTCAGAATCGAAGAGGGAGGATATGGCCTTCAAACCAACAAAACCTGATGTTATGATCCGTTATTTTCCTCTTTGTTCTTTTCCATTTCAAATTCATAAACTTCTTAAACTCACGTAATTAACAATTGTGGAGCTCCAGATAAGGAGATTATCATCCTCTAATCCATAGCCTTATTGTCTAGCAAGTTCATAGGGCTATGGAGCTCTCTCACGATATATTTTATGGGTTTTCTTGCTGCTTTTATGGTGATATCTCTTATGAATGGTATTTTGCTACATCTTTTATACAACACATTTGTAGTATTATATTTCACACGCCGCGAATAATAAGAGAGCTAGTTATATCTAGTATCATGTTATTTAATAGTAATTAGCATTTGCACCACCTATGGTACATATTTTCTCTTTTAAATTATAAATAGATGAGACATATTTGATTACGTGCTCAAATTCGTACACATCTTATCTGGTGAGATGTTTATTCTAACAAACTTATTAATTATCAACAAAGCAAGATAAACTATTAACAGATCGCTCATAACATGCTAGTTGAGGCGACTCCCTAGCCATACCGTCAACTCAACTCATAGCTCAAAACAATCTAGCTCACGAATTTAGCTCAACAAGCCACTGAGTCGATCTGACTCACGAGCCTTGCGAGTTGAACAAGGGTTACCTCAACCTCGATTCGTTAGTAAACGAGTCGAGTGTCGAACGAGTTTTTCACGAGCTGAATGCCCGCTCGTGAGCAAGTTGCCCTAAACTGAAGGGAATTTACCTCAACCCGAGTCTTCACGATCTGAAACTCCCTTGGTGATTCATTCTCTGATACTACCCTTAAAAACACGTCAAAACATACACCAACTCGCACTTAAGTATTCATGAGTCAAGGTATTTCGCTTTCTTCAAGCCGATCGGTCCTCATAAAAAAACCTTAGACACATACTGATGATGCTCTGGTGCCGGTCACTCTCTCGACCACACAACAAGTATTTCCTTATAGAAACAAAAACAACAAGCCCCACAAAGCGCGGTGGTGAGCAACTTTTCCTTTTTTACTGATAACAACAAGTGAAGGGATTGGTAAAAGAATGACAAAAGGAGAGGACAAAAATACAAACTGCACTGCACACTCTGTTTGCTGCTTTACTCTGTCTCAGCTCTTGGTTCACTCCCAAAAAGTGTCAGAGATTTACCATCCCTCTTATCCTCTGAACCAGTTTGAATCAATGGAAGCAATGCAACCCCTCTCTCCCAAATGACTTCAACTCCACTTAACACCGCATCATGCGATCCAATCTGCATACTTTATTGATAGGAGTAGGTGACTGACATCGTGCAGATTAATGACTAAAGACGTTCAGTGTTAAACACCTACCCTGTTCAGCACGATGGCAAATTTGCATGTGATCTCCCTATCAAGATTACAAACCAATGAAGACTTGAGAAAGGAAAGACAAAGAAGGAATAATGGCCAAATGATGGATCCCATTCCCATCCCATTCCCATGGGAGGCCTGAAATTCTACAGCAGCTTCCATATGCAGAAACTCACCCCCACTAGCTCTAGACAAGTTGCCTCTTTCAATATTTGTATCTATCCACCTCATTAAATGGAATCCAATCAATGAACCCTATTACGCGTTTATTTCCAAATTTCTTCTCTCTAGTCAGTCACATGTTAGAGATCGACATCCCATTTTTTCTTCTATAAACAGTTCCGCCTATAACTCAGTCAAACATGCTTCAAACGAGTATTATATAGAGGCATAGAGCTACGTATTAGGGAAGCAAAGTGAACATACCTCTTACAAACTGAGCTCTGAACGCCTCTCACAGTAACAATGGCTACTTCCAAGCTTTCCTCTTTCTTCTTCCCCACCATTCTTCTCCTTCTCGTCTTCTCCCTCCCCACGTCATCTCCTCAATCAACTAACTCCGTTGCTGACTTCTGCAGCACAACTCTATACCCATCATTCTGCAGATCAACTCTGCCGTACAACAAAACCAGCACTATTCATGACTACACTAGAAAATCAGTCCACCAATCCCTCTCCCAAGCCAGGCAATTCCTTCGGCTGATCAACTACCTTATCAGAACAGCTTCCAAACCCTTTCAGACTCTTCTCCCTCCATTACAGGACTGCAAGTTCCTGGCTCAGATGAATGTGGACTCGCTGTCGGACACCATGTCCACGATAGACTCAAGGAACAACCTTTCCAGCTTCACAGCCAGTGACTTGCAGACCCTTTTGAGTGCCACCTTGACCAACCTCGACACATGCCTCGATGGGATTCGTGCAGCGGTTTCCAGCTCGACTGATGTCAGCAGCCTCGTAGCTCCTTTGCTCAATGGCACGAGGTATTGCAGTGTGTCTCTTGCACTTTTCGCAGAAGGTTGGGTTCCTCCTCCCAGAAAGAGGAACAAGGGGAGAGGGCTTATGGAGAGCCGTCACATTTTCGCCAATCACGACCTCGCCCATGGGTTGCCGTTGATAATGTCGAGCAAGGATCGTCGCGTATTCGAGTCCTTCGGTGGTGGTGGGAGGAAGCTTCTCCAAGCTCCCATTGGTGGCATTTCAGTGAGCCAGATGGTCGTTGTAGATAAGGAGGGAGGTGGGAACTTTACAAGCATCAATGATGCCGTTGCTGCAGCTCCTAATTCAACTAATGGCGTCGTACCTGGAAACAGCTACTTTGTTATATATGTGATAGAGGGTCTCTATGAAGAGTACATTTCTATCCCGAAGAACAAGCAGAACTTGATGATGGTCGGAGATGGAATCGGCCGGACGACCATTACCGGGAACAGGAGCGTCGTTGATGGCTCCACCACTTTTAATTCCTCCACGTTGGGTACGTTAGCCCCATTAAAAGTTAACTTAGAGTAGCTCTATCTCTTCAAGACATTCATAGAACATTTGGCTTAAGGAAACTTTCTTTTCACATATCGTTGAGGCATTTCGTCGAACAGTTGATATGCACCCAAAACTTACAATTTTCTTTCCCTCTCGCAGCCGTCGTCGCCCCAGGATTCGTCGCCGTTGGAATGACGTTCCGGAACACGGCGGGGCCATCAAAGATGCAAGCCGTCGCGGTCAGGAACGGCGCCGACATGTCAGCATTCTTCAACTGCAGCTTCGAAGGCTACCAGGACACACTCTACGTCCACTCCTTACGCCAATTCTACCGCGACTGCACAATCTACGGCACCATCGACTACATCTTCGGCAACGCCGCCGTTGTTTTCCAGAACTGCCGGCTCATGTCTCGGCTCCCTCTGCCCAACCAATTCAACGCCATAACTGCACAGGGCCGAACCGACCGGAATCAGAACACTGGGATCTCGATCCAGAATTGCACAATCAAGGAAGCAAAAGATTTGGCTTTAAGCAATGGCACGACGAGATCTTATCTGGGTCGGCCGTGGAAGGCGTATTCGAGGACTGTGGTGATGCAGTCGTCGATCGCCAGTTTCTTAGATCCGGCGGGTTGGGCGCCGTGGTCGGGTAACACTTCGCTGGACACGCTTTATTATGCGGAGTTCAATAACACAGGCATCGGGGCGCTGACCGGCGGGAGGGTGAATTGGCCGGGTTTTCATCTGATTAACGAGACCGACGCCGGGAATTTCACGGTGATGAACTTTACTCAGGGGGACATCTGGTTGCCGGCGACCGGCGTTCCGTTTGATACTGGGTTGTTGGTATAATTAAAGTGGAATGAACAGAAATTGAAGTGGTTGTCAAATCGGAATGTTTATATTGTTCCTTCACGTGAAGAAGTTCGTGAAGAGGGATTGCAAAGGGAGACTTTGAAATTTTTGGCGGGTGTGTTCAGCGACGTGCGCGCCATTATTATTTGGGATATGGAGAAATAAATGCTGTTTTAGTAATTTAGTGTTGGTCGTGTATTTTGTTTTATCCTATGGAGAAGGGAAGGGAAGAGAAGCTAAAAATGATTGAATTCGTTATAAAAAGAAATAAATTGAGATGATTAGATTGATGAAAGTAATAATTTACCAAAAAGAGAAAGATGCATGAAAGTAACGAATTCATGGACTAGAAAAAAAACCACTTTTAAATCCTTGAAATTAATAAGTAATAAGAAACTGTTTATTTCAAAACCGACTCAAACTCGACGCGTTAGTCCGTAAGTAGCTAGAATACCGACGAAAAAGCCTGTTAAGAACCTACTTGGGCAGCTTTGAAGAAGCTCCGAGGAGCAAAGACACTACACATACGGGGAAAAGCAAACAGAAAAAACCTACATCTCCAAGATAGTCACACCAGCGATTGTAGATTCCTTCGACGGAGTATGCCAGATGACCAGTATTGAGTTGCCACAAAAAGCCACAACAAAGAAAAGAAAAAGACATTAGCAAGCTTCAACAGAGCATGCTTAATTGCTTTCATAAATTTGTAAAAGCGAATAAAATCGAACTATAACCTGATTGGTGGATAATCTTCTTTCAATTACTTTCATACCATCTAAGCACTTGCGAAATGATCAACCAAAAAAGCACAACTATGGTGCTAGAAATCTCTATCACTAGAGATTAAATATTGCCCTTGAGGCAAAGTCGATCTTATTAAAAAATACCCCAGTAACGGTATTATCCCCCTCTTGTAAGTACAGAACACTCACAATCAATGCATGATACTTATCTAGCAAGTGAATAACTCATGAACTTTACCCCGAGGCGATGAAGGGAAGAATAGAAATCACCATTAGTTAACAAAAAGTTAAAGTACATAGGTAGGAAATTTAAACTGATAGAAGGTCTGCAACTAACATAGATGGTGTGACAGTTGCTAAACTTACCATAATGGAGAAAATTCTTAGCTCCAACCAACCACGTGTCAGTTTGTTATTGGTGATTTCATCATTTTTTTTAATAGTTTAATTCTTGATTTACTTAGGATAATTAAATATTAAGAAAAAAAGGAAGGTGAATCCACCAATAACTAACTGACACGCTGGACGGTTGGAGCTTCTGCATCCAACCAAGATTGGAGCTAAGAATTTTCCCATAACGGTACGTTGAGGGGAATTTAAACTAATGTTAATCGTGATGGAGACAAGGAAAGAGGACTGTAAATACGAAATTAAAGCAATCAAAGGAGTAGATGCTGCTTGATATTCCTTACCTCAAAATAATCTTGTGGTGATTAAGGATAATTACAAAAATTTAGCAATAGACAAAAACCTCAATAGTAACGAGTTGATAACGCAGAAAATTTCTTTGAATGGCGGAGAGGCGGACCTTGTGAATCCACAAGGCCGCCCCGCCCAATGAGTATCATAAGTTGCAACTGTCGTGGGTTGGGGAAAACCACAACAGTGAAGAGGGTAGCTGAGCTACTCAGAGAACAAGACTTCGACATTGTCTTCTTAATAGAGACAAAGAAACAAGAGCATGAATGGGAAGAGGTAATGGCAGAAATGGGATGGGATAAGGGCAAAGGGGTTGGATCGAGAATCGAGCAGGGGGCCTGCTGTTAATGTGGAAAGAACATGTTCAGGTATCAATCAAGGATTTTGAGGATAACTATATTGACGTAGCAATTGACGAACAGAACCCAGAAAAGGCATGACGCTTAACTGGAATATATGGATGGCCATAACAGGAAAATAAAAAGTAGACCCGGGAGTTGATTAGAAGACTAAAGGGATATAGTGATCTTCCATGGCTCATGATGGGTTATTCTAACCAAGTGTTGGGTTACGAAGAAAAGAATGGGATCAGACTACCTGATGAGCAATGTATGGAAGGATTCAGAGAGGCATTGGATGATAGTGGATTGGAGGATTTGGTATACAATGGTAATATGTTTACATGGGACAATGGTCGAGAAGTTGAAGACTTTTTGGAAGAAAGACTAGCCCGCATGATAGCCAATTATGATTGGAGAAGTAGATTTCAAGAGGCTCAAGTTTACCATCTGGCTAGATGGGTATCAAATCATCTCCCGATCAAATTACAACTAAAACTAGAGGCTGATCGGATTAAATGGGGTTGGCACTTCAGGTTTGAGTCTTTCTGGCAAAAACATGAAGACTACTCGTCATTAATTACCCATGAATGGAATAAAGACCCCAGCTTGGGACTCAAGGCTCAAATCAAAGGATGTGAAAAGAAGCTTATAGAATGGAGTCAAATGAAATTCGGGGACATAAGGAGGAGGAAAAAAAGACCGATAGAATCCTAGAGAAGAGTGGGTTGCTCTAAAACTAATAGCTCCCCCGAAAGCTCCAGGAGTCGATGGTCTCCCAACTATTTTCTTCTAGAAAAATTGGGCAACAGTGGGGCCTTTGGTTGTTGCAGAACTGTAGAAATGTTTCATGGAAAAAGTTATACCACATAGATAAATCAGACACTAATAGCGTTAATCCCAAAGGTAAAACAACCAACAAGCCCAAAGGAGTTCTGCCCTATTAGTCTCTGTCGAGTCATCTATAAGATCTTTTCTAAACTGCTGGCCAACAGACTTACGAAAGTTCTGAATGTAGTGATTCACAATACTCAAAGCGCATTCGTGCCTAGGAGGCTCATTACGGATAATATCATGGTAGCATTTGAATGCTTTTATGCTATGAAAATTCGTACAGAATGAAAGAAAGCTTTTGTAGCAGCGAAGTTATATATATAGAAAGCATATGATCGTGTGGGATGGGCTTTCTTGGCAAAGGTTATGCAGAAAATGGGGTTTGCACAAGGATGGATTGACATTATGATATAATGGAGCCCTATTGAATGGACATCAGACTGAGGTTATTCAACCAACAAGGGGAATCAGGCAAGGTGATCCACTATCACCATACTTGTTTCTTTTGTGCGCTGAAGGCTTATCATCATTGACCAAGAAGGCAGTACGGGAAGGCAAACTACATGGCATTAAGATTTGCAAAGAAGCCCCCTATGATTACACATTTGTTGTTTGCTGATGACAACATATTTTTCTTTCAGAATAAAATACAGGAAGGGGAGACTTTGAAATGGATCTTGGATACTTATGCAGCTGAATCGGGACAACAAGTCAGTTTGGTGAAATTCGAGTTATGGATGGAGCACAACGGAAAGAAATGGCACAACTACAAGGAATGAAACACGTTCAGCATCACGACAAATATTTGGGGCTACCAACAGTCATTGGGAGGTCCAAAAAGTAAGTTTTTACACAACTCATTGATAAGGTGCGGAAGACAGTGAAATTGTGGTAAAAGGAAACTACTCTCAAATGCTGCTAAAGAGGTTCTGATCAAAGCGATTGCTCAAGCTCAAGTAATGTATGCTATGTCAGTGTTCTCATACTACAAGGGGTGATCAATGAAATGCATAACATAATTTCTGGATTCTGGTGGGGTAGTGAGAATGGGGAAAGAAGAATACACTGGATGAAATGGGCCAAGTTGTGCAAGCCGAAAAAAAGAAGGGGGAATGGGATTCCGCGATCTACATGGATTCAATTTAGCTTTATTGGGTCGGAAAGTCTGGAACCTCCTGCAAAATCCATCCAGCCTGGTAGCAAGAGCTCTGAAAGCAAAATACTACCCCCACACAAACATTTTGGAAGTCGAGGTGGGAAATAACCCCAACTATATATGGAGGAGCATCATGGCCGCGAAGGGGCTGGTAAAGGATGGAACAAGATGGAGAGTAGGTGATGGGAAAAGCATTAGGATCTGGTGGGATAGGTGGATACCAGAAGCATAGAATTTCAAGTGCAATCCATAGTAACATGTATATCGAAGTAATTTACTACAACAACACTTCCAACCTACTAATAGAGAATGGATTAAGTCAATCCCCATCCCGTTTCGACCAAGACTAGACAGATGGTGCTGGGGAAAGGGAAGAACAGGCTACTACTCAGTAAAGATGGGATATCATGAATGGAGATTGAAGAAATTGAGTGATCAACCGGAGCATTATGAGCCAATTGACTAGAAAAGATTGTGGCACCTGAAGATCCCACCGAAAGTGAGAGTCTTTGTGTGGAGATGGGGTTCCAACATACTACCTACGAGAGGAAACCTAGCTAAGCGGATACCAGAGGCGAATGAGGATTGTCCTTTCTGTGGGCTTGTTGAAACGCAAGAGCATATAACCAAAGAATGTGATTGGGCAGGCCGGATTTAGAGACCTAGCTTCTGAAGGAAGATGTTCGAAATGGGTGAGGATCGCAACTATGCAAATTGGTTGTGTGAAGTGCTGAAAAATGCAAAGGATGAGGAGATCTGTGAATTCCTAATTACAATATAGTTCCTTTGAAAAGAACGAAATAACCATCATTTCAACAATCAGAAATTTGAAGAGTGGGAAGTAGAGGAGAGAGCACAAAATTACATGGAGGAGTATCAAAGAGCTCAGGAGCCGAATTTTACCCCGGTACGATCGAATCAACGCTACAAATGGGAAAGACCGGAGGGAGGACTGATGGCGAATGTGGATGCTTGTATATTGAAGGATGGGGGAACGAGGATTGGTTTGGAGGTTCGGAATGAAGAAGGAGGATTTGTAATGGCGGCAGTGAGTTGCACAAGAGCTAGTTGGAGCCCGGAAATGGCAAAGGCAAAGGCTTTCCTCTGGGGCTGAAGCTTGTGAAACATCACCAATTACTCCCAACGATGATGGAGTTAGACTTCCAGATCCCTTGTTTTCAAATTGCAGGGGAAGGAGAAGGTCAATTCGGAAATCGACACTGTGTGCGAGGTGATCAGAGTTGATGCTGAAGGGGAAGTGGTCAAATGGAGGTTATGGGAGAGGACAGGAAACATAGTGTCTCATTAGATGGCTCAGATTATTTGCCGTTGGGAGAAAACCGAACTCTGCTTCGACCGACCACCCATTTTTATTATACCCCAACTCATTAGTGACTGTCATGCTTTAACCCAAGAATAAATAAAATGCATACATGAACAATTTATAAAAAAAATTAGCAATTATCATCAAAGAAAGAAATTAATAAGGGGAGATCACATACCGATTATTAATAAG